CCTCCCTCACCGCCATCATCCTCGGCTTCCCCAGTGCCCAGTGGAGTGATGACTGCCCTCCTGATGCGTGGTGAGGGGCCCTGAGCGCTGAAGCACGCCGGGTGCTTCACCCAGAAGCACTTTTCGGGAGCCCTGCATTGCAGAGCGCGGGCCCCAAACCTACCACAGATTTGGGAAGGAAAAGAGCAACAGAGCAAGAGAAAGAAGGGGGCGGGGGAAGGAGAGAGGGTGGGGGGAGGTCCAGAGGGAACTGGCCAGAGCAGGGGCAGCAGGAGCATGCAGAGAGAGGCTGCGCTGGTCCTGAGCTGCCCAGGGAAGAGCGAGCATGTTTGCGTTCTTGTGACTACATGACATAAAGTGACTCAGGCTCTCCCACAGGCCCAGCTCACCGGCCGTAACGAGGCATATGGGCTTGGGGGAGGCCTGCTGTCTTGTTGAACTGCCCCTCCTTCCCCACACGGGTGTCCCGCACTGTGTGCTGTCACACTGGGTTGAGACCTAGCCTGGGAGGGCTGCTCTCTCTGCCAGACCACGGCTCTTTTGCCCCACCAGGGTGGGGCCAGCTGAGGGGTTTCAGACCAGTCCCAGAGCTGGACCCACCCTCCTCCCCCACGCTGATTTTCAGCCCTCTGAAGTCAGGGGCCCGTCTGTCTGTTTCTGCATCCTCAGAGAGGGCGTGCTGCATCCCAGGCCTTACACCACAGGAGAGATGTGAGCAAAACTGGCCAGGGTTTGGGGGCTGAGGATACTTTACCCTTGACTTGCTCCTGGAGGGGGTGTGCTGGGCAGGGCTGAGAGGTGCAGAGCACCTCTATCTTCCTGGGCAGCCTTCCTGTGCTCTTTCCTCAGACTCCCCCAGCCCTGAGGGGTCAGTGGGTGGGTGGTCTTCAACCAGCTGGGGTGATGACTTCTAAACACACACAGCTGAAGTTTACAGAGCAGACCCCGAGAATCTGGGGTGAAGGCTTGTGACCCAGTCAGGCAGTGTGAACCCCAGAGCCAGCCAGACCCGGGTTTAGATCCCAGCCCTGTCATGCTCTCAGTGGTGGTGTGAATTTTGAAGCTGGTGTATGCTGTTAATTTAGCCCTTGAGCCACCACAAGTTCTTGTCCCATGAATTCACAGATGTTTTAGATAAATCAGCAGACAACTAAACTTTATTCAGGAAAGTAAAGTTTATTTACAGGAAAAGGAACAGAAACAGAGAGTCCAAGGCCACAGTGATGCCACAGATTGCAGACTCCAGTATGGGCCCGTGTCTAGGGGGTATCTGCACATTTTTTTCTCTATTTAATCAGTTCTCCATATATTTTTGTGATCAGTCCTTTATCACTGGTTTTGTGTGAGAAGATGTTTTCCCAATTAGTGGGCTCTCTGTTTTTTTGTAATGTCTCTTTTGCTGTACAGAAGCTTTTTAACTTGATGTAGTCCCATCTGTTTATCCTTGTCTTCACTATTATGGCATTGGGTGCTGTATCTTTAAAGGTGTCGCGGAAGTATATGTCATGTAGGTGTTTGGCCCATCTTTGCTTCCAGGTATTTTATGGTTTTCGTTCTTATGTCTAGGTCTTTAACCCACTTCGAGTTGTTTTTGTGAATGGAGTGAGGTAGTGATCTAGTTTCATTTTTTTGCATGTAGCTCCCCATAACCTGAAATTTTAATCTTAAAATTTACTGCCCCTGATTAGCCCTGGATTTCTCTGCCCTTATCTCAGAAGCCTCTTTAACTCGTTTGAAGTCCCTCCTGCACTGTCCCTGAAGCTGCCTGATCACCCCTAACTTGTCCTTAACCAGCAGGCTGCGTACCCACATGGTATTGGAAGATCAAGACCATCGAAACCACATGCAGGCGGAGGTGGCCTGCTTCTCCCTGGTCTCAGGTTCACCCCGGGCACGGTCCTTCTCTTTGGTGAGGTCTTCGCTCAGTTAGTGTCCAGGGCACACGCACGGTGCCAGCAGAAAGCACCTGAGATTTACAGTCTGCATCTTGGTTGTGCATCCTCACTCAGACTGCCTTGCCGGCGTTTGCATAACGAAGCTTCCAGGTCTATGTGCAGTGAAAGGCAGCGGCTGTTGGAAGACCCAGGCTTTCTCGAGAGACCCTGGCACTGCTGGAGACCGACTCCTGGGCCACTTTGGTCTTGGGTCCTGCCACCTGCAGTGGCTCCCGGGCACAGAGCCTGCCCTCTGGACTCCATCCTTTGCCTCCACTGTGCTCACCCGTCTTAATCGTGCACTTCCCGTCAGCCCATGCGAGGCAGAAGGAGTCTCTGGGAAAGACAGATGTGGATAGCTGGAAGGCTGGGCAACTTTGGCTGATGAGATGTTATGTTACTGTTTTTTCTCATCCAGTTATTCCCTTATATTTTTCCTGGATGAAAACTGGTTATGCCTCACAACTTTCTGTCCAGCCTCAGCTTTAAAAAGGCCAAAGTTATGGCTATTTGAAAATCACAAAACAGTTTCAGTTCATCTATTGAAATGACTATGTCTAGGTAAGAATAAAATTTTAGAACTTGAATTAAGGCCCAGGTTTTCCCTCCCTCCAGTTGGAACGTGTTGAAGATGGGATACCTGCTGTCAGAGAAGGGCTGTGGGTGGTCCTGGCCAGGTTGGAGGTATGGGGGAGGGGCACTCCCGGTAGAAGGGGCTTTAAGCACAGGCACAAGCAACACCCTTTGCTCAGGAACTCCCAGGCTGTTCAGTAAGGTGAGCTATCATGGACTCAAGCGATAATTTTGTTACTGTCTCTTTAAGTCATTTTCCCCCTAATCTGAGACTTTTGAGATGCAGGGGCCATGCCTTAGCCCTTCACATCCTCAGGGCCAACTGTGTGCTCCTCACCCAGCTGGGAGCTATACATGTTTGTTGAATGAAAGAATGATAATACCAGGCAAACCACTATCTGTCTTGTTGGGGTTTTACTGCCTCTGATGGGGAGCAGAACAGCTGATCCCAAAATATGCCCCTGGACATGTGGCATATCAAGTGGATTGTTTTAGGCTTCAGCTTTTAGGACCCTAACGTTGGGAAGAGCTCATGATCTCCTGCTTAAATGCCTAAAGAATTCACCTAAAGAAGCTCTCTCCATAGAATACACAGATACTGTGAAGTAGGTGGAGGAAATTAGCACAGTCTGTTAAAATTCCTGTCTGGAATATTACTCAGCAATCAAAAAAAATAAACAGATGCCTTTTGTAGCAACATGGATGGAGCTGGAAGGGAGCATGCTTAGTGAAATAAGCCAGAAAGAAAAAGAAAAATACCGGATGGTTTCACTCATAGCAGGAATATAACGGACCAGGCGAGAAAATAATAATAATAACAAACAACTATATACCAGAGACATTTTTATGGAGATGGAATGGGGAATGGGATCAAAAGTAGTGGGCGGAGGGAAGTGCACTGGACTATGGTGATGGCACATGGGTGATCTGGTGATGGGAAGCTCACAGGGATTACAAGTGAGATGGAAAAATGCACAAAATGATGTAAAAATAAACTTATTTTTTTTTAAAAAAATCCCTGTCATTGTCTTCTGCATGGCCCAGCAAAATATCTTTTGGCAAACCATGTTATTTTTTTCATCCCTTTGTGAATTTCCTTTCTTCCCTTTCAAGTTACAGATCCTCCATCCCCTTGTCCTTAGTCCGGGATGACATATATACCACTATTTTGCCTAACAATCTTCAGATTCTTCATGTGGATTCCCATACTTAGGTAATTAAATTGCTTTTTTTTTCTTTGTTAATCTATTGGGTGTTATTTTGATTAATCAACCATCTGAGAAGAACCAAGAGAGGAAAGGGAGTTTCCCCTCCCCCTAGCCATAGGGAAGGCTGGAAAATTATGCTTATTTCTTGGGTAAGTACTGGGTGTGTGTGTGGGGGGGGTTTCTCTTATCATTGAAGCTCAGGAGCTGATTTGAAGGCAACCATACTCGCCCTTCTGCATGACTGATCAGCATGGGCTCCTCCTACAGATTTTCTCCAGGAAGTTTGTCTTGAGGTAGAGAGAGGATTTCCCCCAAAGCCAAGATTATCAAGTGCTGATACCCAAACTTCCTCCAAGCTTTCTGTAATGAACCCCTTTATTTCCCCTCTCCCTTCCTTGGCTTTCCTATGGGTTGAACATTGACATTGACAACTAGGAAAAACAACAAACCACTTTTGTACTAGGATGGGGTGAAGCATGGCAGGTTTGATGTGCAAGGCTAACCTCATTAACAAGGGGAGGAAGAGAGGTAGGTCAAGGAAAAGATAGAGTTGCTGAAGAGGTTAAGAATACTGATGTGGGGGCCCTCCCTAGTGGTGAAGTGGGTACAAGCA